TTTCGTACCCTATTATTCGATTGTGATTAAACTTAAAACCATAAATATCAATTTATTTTAATGATAGAACTTTTAAAGTTATTTTTCTGGTCAGATAACCTTTAACATATACAAATGTGCTCCTGTTTTTTTTCAAACTTATGCCAAAAAAGATAATTGAATACTTATCTTAAAACGCAAGTACACAACACCCGTTTTCATGGATAAACTCTACTCTAAAATTCTCCATCTTAACATAGTTTACATGTGTAAATAATTTAGTTTCACAGAAACAACTTGAATGTCCATAAACGTAAATTAATTAATATCTGTAAATGGAAAAGTAATTAAACATTGAGTGAAACTAATGAATGAAATGCACCCAAATGCCCTGGTACGGTTGAGAGTGGGGAGAGTCCGCTTTCCCTCTCTAAATGCTCTCACATGGCCACGCGTATATATATATATATATATATATATATATATATATATATATATAGCGTATATAGTCTTAATCACTGCCTTCTCGTGACATTACTGTTGTTTACGAAATTGAGAATGACGAAATGCGAATGTCCGGCGCTTTATCCGGGTTGGTGGACACGGAAATTCCACCTAGGGGAGTTGGAAAACCCTGATTCCAAACCAATGGTACACATGGGCTCCAGTATCCTGAGGGATCAAATGGCATATGAATCAATCGTTGATCACCAGCTACCATGGGACTGCATCTTCTCACGATGCTTTACTGCCTTGTGGGTTAGACGTTTAGATCAAAGGCTCCGGGTGTGGTCCTATAAGAAAACCACCTGCTTCAGTTTGGGCACCTGGACAGTATCACAGCTCTCACACAAATCAAATGAGATTTGTGTGGCACATATATATCTGGTGCCCATTTGTACCAATATTTATGTGTTCAAATAAATAAATAGTGAATGAAATAGTTTTTCACTAAATTTCTCTGATAAAAATATTTCAAAGATTAAGTGTTGATGGAAGCAAGGGTATAAGAATATAAAATAGATTTAAAAATGTACTAAAATTGTACCTGGATATAATATTGGTTTATTGGTAATGAAATTTCTTCAAAAAAACACGACAGATTCAGTTGTCTACGTTATATTTACCTACGTATATGTCAACCAAGGAGACTCCTATCCCATAATAATATATAGTATCATTATGATGCCATGTTAATTCAGAATTGGTATATACTTGACAATATTAAAACACCTTAAATTCTTTCATTATCTTTCGTAACCCAAAAGTAAACTAATAAATGTAATGAAGTAACCCAAACTTTATTCTATGGTATATTTATCTATTAGTGTTTAAGAAAACTCATTTCAAGGTAAATGGAATTAGATTTCATTGCAATATATCTAAACTTTTGGTCATACTTAACAATCTAATAATTAGGTTTTTTTTCAATAAAAGTATGCTTGACTTGATTACAAAATTAATCAACCTTTACTTTCCATTTATACAGTGAGAGAAAGAGAGAATAAATTCATATGTATTTCTATTTGAATGAGTTTATAATCCATGTTATCGGATTACAAGAAGATAACTTTAATGGATAAATTTGTTGTCGGCAGCAGAAAATGCTTTTTCAATAGAGGAAATTTCTCATATGTTTCATTAATCGATTTCACGCTTTGATTCTATCTTCTAAAAATGTCTTTTATTTACTTTGTCTTTTATTACTCAAAATCCAATAACTGCTATTCATCTGCAATTAATCATCGTTTAGATATAATTTGATGTAATAAACTGCCGCTAGTTAGGGAATGTATAAAATTCGGAGTGAATTTGTGATATTAATTATAATTAGTTTAAGAATCTTCAAGAATAAGCATACAAAACCTCATATGAAAGTGCGTTGATGACCTTTAGAGTCTGCAGATAAAAGGATACGTGAATTCAGTAATTATGATTTAACTTTCTACATTTAGAGAAGCATTTTACTATCCAAAATTTCTCAGACACTGCTTATTTAACCATTGGGAATTTTTAAGTGACAACGTAGTCAGTTCTTGAAATAAATATGTTATCACTAACAGAAATGTAAATACCTACAAAACTTCATTTGTCATAATCATAATTCTCTTGAAATTAACTCGATTTAGAAAAGAGGATTTTTTTAAAGTCTAGGCATTTTCAAGCTTTATGTTTGACAAAAAACAGAAGACATTTGTTTCAATGATTAATATGTTTATATGTGAATTTTATATCATCTCTAGGACTAATACGGATCAATTTGACAATTGAAATAATCTAATATTAATGTAGAATAAACTGTCACTGTTATAATCAATTCTTCGTGAATTATATACATGAACATTTTATCATTCATCTAAACACTTCAATGAAGCATAGTCTACATGTTTGTCGCATTAGTTGTATTCAAATTTAAGGTTCTTTTTACGAAACTTTACTTAACTATACATGTGTATTAAAGTAATCACTTTTTATACAACAAAAAGGTGTTCGACTGTCATCTTAAGTTACCTAAATATATATAAGGGAAATAAATTATACTGTTAATACATAAAATTGTTTTACCAAGATACAGAGTATTTTTTTAATTTGAAATAATTTCAGGCCACCTATAGTGCTTCTGAATCAATTTTTTTAAACATTGAATCATATTAATCTGTGAATTGGTTTTAAACATGTATAGAATGTTGTTGAAAGTGTTAGTTTATAGTTTGATTTACTTGACCTTATTTCATTTTTAAAACTGAACAATTTCTTCTTCGTTAAACTGATAGAAAGAAATGCCTAACTGATTTTAGATTACTAAATAATGATCAATCTTTGTTTTAAACAACATATCAAATAGTAGTTCTGTTCGCATTTTATATCACGAATTACTAAATAAATGACAGTCAGTAGTAAATAGAAAATTATTCAAAACTATATAGTTTGTCTCACAAAAATAAAACCAGAAGACTTTAGGGCACTTTAAGAAACACTAGGAAGCATACAGCATAACAGTATGTGGTATGCTTTCACTCCTGTACCAAATATTTTTTTAAAAAAATACCTCATTTTGTATAATCTGACCAATTTTTAATTCATAACACTTGTAGTTATCGGTTATAACCTTTGATAAAAGAACAACTTATAATTTCTTTTTAGTGTGTTCAATCTATATTAAAATAAAACATTAATAAATTATTTATTTTTTAACCAAGTAAGTAATCAGAATATAATTTTTAAAAACAAGTTGTATATTGAAAGCGTTCGCACGGAAAACCGAAGGCCCTGGTTTTGAATTCCGCGAATGGGGTCGTAGATGCACACTTCTGAAAAGTCTCACAATAGGATAAAACGGCAATCCAGTGCTTTCAAGTTTTCAATGGTGGTCTAACATCAATCATTTCATGATCCCAGTCAAAAATCAATTGGATTATTCTCGCAACAAAAATGGTTATCATAACACTTTTTTCTTAATATTTTATTTTTTTTGAAAACTTTTACCCCATCAATACGATGAAAACTTCAGAAAACATGTAAAAATGGATTTTGTTTAACAAAATAATTTTATTTGAATATAAAACAATGTTATTCATGTTAGTATACAGTCATGATATTATCATTCAGTAAGGAGGTTCAATGAAAATATCGCGTAATTTCTATATACTTTTCAGAACTAATTAACGTCCACTTTAGCTGTAATACTCCCAGGACAGAGTGGGTTGGAGAAAGCTGGTCGGCGGCCTATGCTCCATTGGGAGTAACAGGCGAAAGTAAGTAAGTAAGTTAGCTGTAATACTAGGTTATAAATGCAATAAGATGTTATACAATGAAAATAATGAAGTTTGAATGGCACCGTAACACTGCTGTAACTCACTTATTATCTTGAATGATGATTGCTATTTATCAATAATTGAGAAAAAGTAATTACGTACATAATGAATACCTTAAATTTATCATGTCCTTTGTGAGAATCCTAGTTGTTATACTCTATACTTTGTGGTATTATGAATGTATAAAAGTGCGAGATTAGAAAATAAGATAAAACAGATTTCTAGTAGTCTTTAGTTGTCATTGGTTCTCGATTAATTCGAATTCAGTGTAAACTTAGCTTCAAATAAGTGTGGATTTCTGAAATAAGTTGATGTTGATTTCCTTAGGTAAAAGTTTATTCTTCCGTAGTGGTTTTACAGCAAAAATATAGATTATAAATTCGAAATTGTTGCCAAATAGATAAAGCGCTTTTATTGCTGCAACTTGCAATGAACATGTGATTATTCCATATATCTGAAAACAAAAGACATCTAATTATTTAGCAATATGCTAAGCGATCTTTTAAGTCATATAAACAACTCCAAAAAGTTTGAATTCACTTGATATTATTTGTTTGAATCTTCCTTTTTGGGACTGAAATTGATCAGTCTTTTATTGACCATACGTGCAGACTGTGCAGACTGCCTCGATGTAGCCTTAATTCACAAGCATTATAAGCAAAGGTGGATAGTAGCTAGCAGTGGAATCCAGTTTGACGCGCGTTTCGTCCTATTTGAGACTCGTCAGCTGGATGTACTAGCATCTCAGAGTTTATGTTCAATCTGGCACTCGAACCCAGTACTTTTCGCTTCAAAGTCCATCGCATTATCCACTCAGCCATTTAGTCAAGAAAGGTTGACATTTCATCCGTTTTTTCGGGAAGTATCTGTTTTAGAGGTTAATTTATTCAAAATGACAATAATTTGATAAATTGACGAATTCTCTATATAAATATGTGTATATATACAACGAATGAATGGGAAAGTTAGTTAAGAATAATTTTAATTTAACAGTACTCATCATTTTCTATCAAGTCACCTATGATAACCTGCCTCTTAATTTTAAAATATTGATAAGATAAAATATCCAGGAAAAAATAATTGTGTTACCGTAATAAAAACTTCTATCCATTAATATTTTTGATAAAACAATGGAGAGAATACGTTAGCCACTTGTTTTTACCGCATAATAGGATATATATAAAAATATATAACCATTAAACTCGCCTGTAAGCAAATGTAATTGTCAAATACGTAATAGAAAACGATAATTAGTAGAAAGTAACACTCAATATATATGTATATATATATATATTCACGTAAATTCATTCATTTTTACACACAACTTAGAATGAATGTTATAGCTTGTTTCAAAAGACATAATATTAACTTTATAAATGTTGTAAACAAATAATATGAATAAAGATCAATGTAATTGGCTTTCTTTTAAATAGTACGAACCTTGATCAATCAACATTAACCAGATTCAATAGAAAGAGTTCCACATTTTTCTTTTATTCTTTCTAGTTTGATGATAATTTATCAATCATATTGGTTATGCTTGTGAACAATTCACTGTATGACTATCTACAAGATTATTACATGTATTGATAAGTCGAGTATTCGTTGTATTTACTGATTGACAACATTTCAATGGATGATTTTTACATAAACGATTTAAATCTGATAAAAATACACTTGATGTACAAGAATAAATAAAAAAATGTGTCATATGATTAATCATTTGTAATATTACTGTTACTCTTTCAATAGTATCACAGACATTAATCCAATCTTTATTATCAATACAAAATTTCGATTCAAATAAATAAAAGAATACTACTGGCATTGTTAATAAAAAATGGCTTATAGTCATACAAACTACTGTACGTAATACACGTGCAGAACGTTGTTCACGAGCTGTAGACTTTAAAGATATTTGTTTTGAACTATCACTTATAAGTGTTTCCCTTGGTATGGTTGAATTTTGTGTATGTTTTGTTGATACATTTGTAGTTTTCATTCTCCATATAATACTTATATTTACTAGTAGTATGAAAGCTAATGGAATAAATGAATAAATTGCAAAATCAATATACGGCCAATATAAATGAAATGCTTTATATTCTTGTTTCGGTGCACATGAATTATCTTTTACATATACAGTCCATACATAATGAATATTCACACCGGCCAAACATAATACAACAAAAATTAAAGCTGTTATTCCATGTTCTAATTTACACCATTGTTTAAATTTGATTGGAGTCCAAACACATACAGCTCTTTCAATACATAATAAAATGATTATCCATGTTGATAAATCTGTTGAAAAAGTAAATAAGAGTAATGGTATACCACAGCCAAATTTAATACGTATATCCACTTTTTCATTGGTTATACCAATTATCCATTGTCTTAAGCAACCATGTGCTATAACATATGTATCAGTCATACACATTATACCAATTAATAAACTTGTTGAACCAACTGTTGTAGATAAACGTCTTAACCAAATAACCATTGATAATAAATTACCGGGTATTCCAATAATTAAAATAATTATTGGTGCAACACTATATAATGTACCTAATGAATGATGTACTTTTGGATGATATTCTGTAAAATTACCGTCAATCGATAATATCATGATGATTGATATAATGTTATTATTATCGATCACGTCAATGTTTTTTTACATTATCTTAGCACAACCATTATCAATTGAAATGTAAAAAAATGAATTTAAGTAATGAAAAAAAATTTTTTTCAAGTAGTATCGTATTTAAAGTATTTATTTAAAAATGTAATTGAATATTTTTTTTAATGGATAAAACATTTCCGATTTAATATTATATCCAAAAATATTGACCAATCAGAAATAATTGTTATCAACCAATAGAATTTTCAGGATTCTTAACACACAATTTGCCTAATTGTACAAATTATCTGAGGTTGTTTGTTTTTTTTCAAACTGAATGCTTTTTCTGATAGGAATACAATAATAGTAGATTTTTATAAGATTAGAACTAACGATTTCATTGTTAGTTATTGTCTGAATTGAAAGTGAATTCCAAATTAGTCGATTTTATTTTATTTTTGTTTGGAAAAGATAATTATTTCAGTTTGTTCATTTACTAATATTAGAAATGTGATCACTGTGCTAACACTTTTTGTTATATCCCGTGATTTATGAACGGTAACTTTGAGGACTATTTATGGACCAATACGATATGTATATATCTTATTGTATAATTGTTAAGTAACGAAAGTATTCATATTCGTGTCCCTCTTATTATTTTGACCCATAGACTATTACCATTCTTGAGTTATCCCCAGTCTATTGATTACTTTTCCCCCTATTCACAACCACATTTGGCAAAATCTTGTACAAAGGTTATTCTCTATTTTATGGTACGGTGTGGTCTGTTTGATTGGTATATAAACCCAGTATGTTTGTGAATAATGCTTCATACTTCAGAGGCTGTATTCTATACTTAACTGGCTGGGCAAGGCAGATAGCAGGACCGAGTAGTACTCAAGACTGTTCATACGGTTTTCGTGTATCACTGGATCCGATCGATAAATTCACTCCTCTCAAATAGGTGGTCTTATAACGTCATATATATCAACTGGGCAAGAACGCACTCAATCGATACAATACTTCTACAATCAATCACGTTAGTAGTTTATATGTAATAAAAAAATTTGCGAGTTCTGTCTATGATTAACAAGAAATAAAATTAAAAATCTACATTCGATAGGAATTATGTCAATGTTTTCCTGGTACTTGTTGTTATGATCTACTGATTAAACTATAGTTTTGGTAAAATACTACTTTTAATTTCAATCTAAATATTAACAGATAGTTCGTAATGTATAAATAATTTCAATGTACACTTTATCAGAGTAATAATCTGGTTCAGTTTGCATTAAACCGGCTGATTAATGACAAGAAATGAAAATTTCGATAACTTTTAAGTAAGAAAAGCAATGTACACCTCTCAAATAAATATGGGATTACATTATATTTTCATAAAGATATAACGTTCAGTCTAAATTAGTTCTGTATGATGGCTAAAGAAAGTACGGTCGGTAAACTTGGCGATTTTTTTCAGGAAATTCTACGGTTTATAAATACAAATAGCAAAAGTATGTTTTTAGTAGTATATGCTTAAAAACATACTTTTGGAAATATTATTAAAGTTTATAATCCCATTATTGACACATATTCAAGCTCATTATGCAAGTACACACTATTTAGGAGTTTCTGAATGACAGTGAGAAGGCCATCTATTTCAGGGCTGCCAAACTTAATCATTATTTACAGTGCTATCAAACTGAATCCTAAATTTTTATTCACCATATCACTCTTTACAGCCCCTAGAATAAACGATATTTAGTCAGTCTTTAACTAGCCTACTTAAAGTCTATATGTGTTTGGCAGATAACTGTATAAGTCAAAATATTGGTGATTGTTGGAGTTTTGGGTTAAATAATCTTATTTCAGTATCAACCTCCTATGATTAAATGCCTTTTATTCCACTGGTTAGCTGTAATTTTATGTCCTTATAGATTATCTTCATTAGTAATAGTTATGAACACCGATATGTGAGAAATAGTAAAGATTTGAAACTAAAGATGCTGGTATAGTTATTTGCATATTACATACTTCGTATAATTTTAAAAAAAGGTGAGGGAGTAAAAAGAATAGCTTGTTACCACTGACATTCTAGTAACTATCAAAACTATACATTAGATGATTTCATGAAATCATCCGAACAGTATATCAACAATCAAAATATATAAATGGCATATGTTATACACATTCCGATATATTATTCGACAAACGATCACCAATAATACTGTTTTCCTTATTTAAAAACAATTGAGTAATACCTATGAGAAATACTAGGTACAATTTTGTTTTCTCAGTAAATACATGTTCAGTTTAAAGATAATAAGGACGTGACATAGTTTACAGTCACATCCGTTTTTTTTATTTTTAATCAAATACAGTGCCACTTTACTTTTATAATATATAATTTATTGGAGACTTTTAACTTCATTATCAAAAAGACGTATGAATGATTGTCGTATTCAACATCCTTTAAAAACTTACTAGACAGTAGTTCAATACATTTAAACATTATTTTCTCTATTGGGTCTGTTTAACTTTATTTGAACCTACTTAACGAGTGAGTAAGACTATAGTATAAGTACGTTAAGCATACATTTCTAGACCAGCTATAATTTATCATTATTTTTTAGAGACGGAATAACTCTGCAATCCACTTATTTTGAAAATAGCCTTCATGTTAATCATATTCAAAATATCAATACATTGGTAATAACTAAATCTAAAAGAAGTCAGAGAATCATAAATAAACAAAATTGGATATTCATTGGATATTAGATATTCATTTGAGTTCGTATGATCCAAAGCCTGATATCAATTCTCTTCTCTGAAATAAGACTCTTACTGAAAGCTTATGAGTTTGAAAATAATCTGAGATATACGCATCATATAATTTTTTTAAGACAGTAATAAAAGAATTGTTTTCATATATTATATTTTACATTTCATAGCCTGTAATTGTCATTATTTGTAATGTGAAAAAACTAATCGGCATATCTATTATTTTTAACAGATTTTACTAAGATTATCCTCATTTGTGATAAACGAAAAATAGCTAAGTGTGTGCGAGGAGAAAAAATTACTTTTGTAGTTTATACATCATGTCGGTACACTGTAACTTTTCAGCTATGGAATAACAACAAGAGCACCTATCTATTCTTTATTGGTTTGTGGTTGTCAAACAACAACTACAACTAAGCTGATTCTCAGAATAGCAAAGCTCCCGTACGATACTCGACTGGTTAGATAAAGATATTTTAATTGTTACATAGAAAAACCAGAGGAGACTTGATCATAGTTTTTAAATTAGTGATAAATGTGCATTTCATATGTCTTCACTTTACTTGTCTTCTAAAATAGTGAATTGATGAGAACACTTTAAGAATGTTCACAAGCCTAGGAAAAATTACTTATTAGCTGACTATCAACTTTCCCATAAAATAGTCAACAAATAAAATTCATTACCTCAACATATGATTGCAACATTTTGCAACATTTTCAAAAAAACGTTGGATCGACTGAGAGACAACCCATTGACAGAAGTAACACAGATCAACTAGCCTGATGTCCTTTCCACATAAATTACTAACTTAACACTGATTTTACCAATCTGCCACTTCATTATTTTAATAAAATTGTTTAATTATCATTTATTCAAATCAATTAAATTTAATTATAATACATTAATAGTTTCAAACAATCAACTTATTCACTGAAGTAAATTAAAAAAAGAAAAATAAATCATTCTTTTTACATAACATGATCATTGATTCAATTTATTTACTATCCAAAAAAAAATTTAAAAAATTTCTTGTCATTTAAATAAACAGAATTATTTCTTTTTTTTCTCTCTCTCTTTTAATTACAACTTCATTTAATTTTATTGATTGTTTTCTATTCCTTTTCTTTTCTTATTTTTCATCTTTTCTTTTTTTAAAGTTTATTTACAATCTTTTTTTATTTTTTTTAATTTTTTCTCTTCAATTTTTTTTTAAAAAAAACGAACAATTAACCAATTAAAAAAATTGTTTTGGTAAAATAAGAAACTATTCACATATATATATATATATTATGTCAGTATACACAATGAGAATTGAGTAACAATTTTGATAATGAACTAACTAGTTAAATAACCAGTTGAAAATAACTTAATTATTTGTTAAAGAAAAATAGTTTCTTTCTCTTTTCTTTTTGTTCCCCTTCTCTTTCTCTGCTATAATGTTTAAACGAATGTATATCTAAGATGAACAAAATATGATTCTTTGTAAAGAAAACTTTTTTAAACAAATGATATGTTATATGATATATATTAATTAAGTGATAAGTGAATAAAACAATAACACAACAAAAAACAACAGGTTGTTAATTTGAAAAAAAACGAAAAAAATTTTTCTCTTTTCTGTAAACTTTTAATTGAGTTTTTTGTTTTACTTTAAATCATTATCAGTTTGTTATAAGTTAAAGAAAATTGTTTGTTAGTTTAAATGATAAATTAAATAGGTGTTTATAATCGTTTAGAGATTCCCTTCATCATTCAAAGACTCATATTTGAACGAAGAATATTCTTTCGGATAAATTCTCTTGAGGTTCTACAATTATATATCCAAAATAATAATCCAAAAAATGGCCAAGTTAAAGACAAAGTACATCGTTTAAATCATGTAAATTTAGGATTATCAAACCAAATAGAACAAAATTGTTAATGTTGATATGACTCATAGAATGTTAACTTGAATATATATATATATATATATATATATATATATATATATTAAATGAAAATTTAACATCTGTGACCAGAATAAATAGGGGTCAGATAGGGTCAGAGCGATATGATAGTGCAATTACAATTTGATTAAGTGGAAGACTAAATTGTGTGAAAGACTAGTAAGACGTAAGGAGGGATCAACGCGAAGTGAATGAATCATGGGGAGATTAATAATGAGTGGCTATCAGGACTAAGTGACCGAGTGGATAACGCGATGGCGTTTGAAGCGAGGGTACTGGGTTCGAGTCCCAGAGGGAACATCAACTCTGAGATGCAGGTACATCCAACTGACGAGTCCCAAATAGGACGAAACGCGCGTTCTGGATTCCACTGCTAGCCACTATCCATCTTTGCTCACCATGCTTGTGAATTAAGGCTATACCGAGGCAATACGTACAGTATACACATA